GTGAAGTACATTATAAAACATCAATGGAATTTAAAGTTCCATATATAGATGTATTTTCATTCGTTCAAAACGTATTTGCACTTGTTCCAACATTTCATCATTTCCTTATTTGGGATACGTTCTAATTTATGTTACATGAGAATATATTTTGGGATACTTGTTGGTTGATACTTTTGCCATGCTGCTTTATCACAGTAAAAAATGCCCTAAATCAAAGCTTCAAGTAACCATAGGGTAAAAATAAAATAGAATCTTTATTGCTTCCTTTAGAAAAGTATGTATGTAGTTCCTGTTCAAATGCAGTTTGAAAACAGGGACTCATTGATTGACCTTCATATGTGTGTCTGCATAATTTAAATTTCACAAGTACATCAGATATATCAGACAAATGCACATGTCACCAAATCCAAAATGGCTGACTTGCACAAAATATCTGAGGCATTGGCCCCAAACCAAAATGTACATTTCCATATTGTTAATTAATACTTAGAAGGCCTTTAAATTTGTGTTTCTGTTTCCAAGGTGATATCAAAATGTTCAAACAAGAAGCAGAAAGAAGAGTCAGGTCACTACTGGATGCTCATCAACAGTTTACAAAATTAACAACAACCAAATTACACAATGTTTCAAATATTGAAACTGTGAATAAAACCAACATTCTTCCTGAATTGAGAACTCGAAAAGTTGCTGGAAATGCTGGAAGCGTTTGCATTGATGATATTGAAGAAAGGACTATCAAAAAGCAGGAGACTATTCACAGTACAGACTCTAGCAATAAGCTGGATACGTTGATTTATCCGTTAATACAAATGGGACCATTAGGAATCACAAACGATGAGGAAGCAACAATGTATTTACTAGAAAACTCACCATGTGGAAGTCGCATACACTTAGCATCAGGATATTTTAACTTAACAGAAAGCTACATTGATATTGTATTAAATAAATCCAAAGCATTCTTTAACATATTAAGCGCTGCACCTCAGGTAAGAAAGATATTTGTTACATGTTGAATATGTAATGTCATTGTTGCGTGAATATTGGCAGCCATGTTGTAGCCAGCCTAAAGTTACTCGTTGAAATAACATTGTATTGTGACATCACACACAATTATACACAAAGCCTTGGTCATCGTCTCTTTGTAGCATTGTTGTAATTGGTGTTTTTCCTGATAATTTTATTTATAGACCTTAGTCGCAAATAACCACCAAAATCTCATTGAAAACAACAAGAGTTAGAAGAATACTTTTTTGCCCCCTCCCCCAAATTGTGTTCAATTTTCTCCCATCACCCATTTCACTGTTCCAAATACCAGTTACCTAGAGCAGAGGAACAGAGTATGTACATGATGAAAGGGAGGAGGTGGAACACTGTTTGAGATGCAAAAACTGTACTGTAGAATACTTTATTAGTCCCTGTTCGGACGCAGTCCGAAAACGGGGACTTATGTTTTGCCCTGTGTGCGTCCGTGCGTCCGTGATCACCTGTATCTCGAACATGCATGGAACCG